ATAGAAGATGCTAATTTTATTAGCAGAACCTAACTTAAATTATAAAATACATTTTAATTTTCAAACAAATTTATTATTCAAATGCTATTCTTAAATTTCTAGTTTATTTAGTAAAAAAAGAAACAAACAATGTAAATTAAAAAGCTGAACTTTTTACTCTGCTTCTAGCGCACACACGAAACCTCCTTCCAGGATCGTTATCAGTCCAAGAAGTTAGAAGAGAAACCTTTTTACCACAATCACACTCCATAAACTTTTCTCTGATCGAGAGCCGTTACTAGCAGATTTGAAGAATAATTCACTCTCTCGACTTAGTTCAGGAGAAATCTTCAGGTAGAGTTATATGTTCTTCCCCCCTTTTGCAGATCCGATAATAGGCTTGGTATGGTTGTGCACGCACTTAGCGAAGAGCTTTCGTACTCTGGTTTTTTAACTCTAGCTAAGGGCCAATATTGAGTTAGCAAATGAGTTCCAAATAATATACTATGTGGCAGGTGATGTGTCTTTTTCCGACGAAATTGATAAGTTCCGGCAGAGAAGGACCAAAATTGCACCAACTTATTAGTTACGGGATGTAAATTGCAAATTAATAAAGTTACAGGACCAATATCGGATATAGCTATTAGTTAGGGGACTAAATCAACAAATTTCCCTAAAAGATATCTCCAAATATTACTCCGTAGTTCCATATATATCTACCGAAGCTCTGAATATTGGAAAAATGTACATAAACAAACAAAATACAGATGTATAATTAGGAGAGTAAGTTAGTCAATTTAATTTAATTTAATTTAATTTAATTTAGTCAATTTTTTTTCAAAACAAATTTAAGTTAAACAAACAAATTACATGTAAGTACTCATAAATACCAAGTCTAGCTAGGGTATTAATTAATAGCCGTCTACATAATATTTCTCAACAATTATCTGATCCTAACAAACCTCCATCTTCCTGCCGATCCTCCAATGGAGCTACCCTACCCTGTGAAGCAGTCTCTGCCTAGTCCGGCGGCTGATATTCCGGCAACCGTTCCCAGCAACCCTAATAACAATATTTCTCCCACTAATTACGTTTCTAATTTAAATTTATCTCCGGGTTATTGGTTTTGTCCCACTGATGATGAGCTGATTCGTCACTATCTGAAGAAGAAGGTCATGAACCAGATACTGCCTCCTCACGAAATTCCGGAAGAGAACTTGTACAAGCACAACCCGGAGGACCTTTCAGGTTTGTTTTATATATTTTCCATAATTATAAATTTATCTGCAGGATCATTATTATATTCTGCTTAACTAACCCTAGAAGGCTAGAACGTACTACGTAAACGTTTTTTTTGTAAACCCTAATGTATGTTGTACTTTGTTTAAAATTATTATCGGCGTTCATCTAAATAGTTTGGTTGAATATATCTAATAAAATCTATACATTCGTAGAATCGTAGTTCCGTTTTTCTTTTTAATCTGATCAATCTTGGTTTAATCGATCGATTAATAAAGGAGTTTCTAGGTTAAGTAGCTATTGTACCAAATTATGTATCGTTGCATAATGACTTAAAGAGTAATACTGTCACGCCCCTGACCGCAATCCAGGCGCGTGTACAACCGCCGTGTAATCAAGTGACGTCACCCGCGAGTCAACCTCACTTAATTACACAAGGCGTTCGAGAATATAAACCATCCATACTCAGTAGTAAACATACATAACAACATCGCATTTAAACTAATGAATAGCGGAAATATTCAACGGTAAGTCATAAGCCACAACCGGCCAACAACATGGGCATGCAAGCCCCAAAAGTAGTTTATAACAAATAAAAAATATCCATGAGCAATGTTTAGTAATTTGAAAGGAAATGAGGAAGCACGAACCACGTCTTCCTTGACTTGATGTCACCCGTAGAAAGGTGCAGGTAGCAAGCTCTAGCTTCAACATGAAAATGGTGGGGGCCCCCGAAGGGGTCAGTACAAGTACCGAGCGAGTAGCAGGCTAAATATAGAATAACTAGCGTTTCAAGTATAAGACCCAAACATAGGGTGATACTTAAATAAATAGTCTTTCCCCCAAGTTATGAAATACTTATTAGTATATATATACTTGGAACATATCCGATCCGTAGATCACCGTTTTATTTGGGAAAAATAGTAATAGTCAATATTCTTGACTAAAAAACCCCAACCCACACATATACCTATGAGTGTATAGGACTCCTCCTTGTCCCTATTCCAATATCATAATCTATGAGTTTTGAGGATCATAATCCTTGGGTACTCCACCGGTTTGCGAGTGTTAAGGACTCATAAGTCCTAGGGTCCTCCACCAAGTTTTGAGTGTTAAGTACTTTTAAGTACTAGGGTCCTCCACCAAGTTTTGAGTGTTAAGTACTTTTAAGTACTAGGGTCCTCCACCAATTTATAATCCGAGTGTTAAGGACTTTAAGTCCTAGGGTCCTCCACCAATTTATAATCCGAGTGTTAAGGACTTTAAGTCCTAGGGTCCTCCACCAATTTATAATCCGAGTGTTAAGGACTTTAAGTCCTAGGGTCCTCCACCAATTTATAATCCGAGTGTTAAGGACTTTAAGTCCTAGGGTCCTCCACCAATTTATAATCCGAGTGTTAAGGACTTTAAGTCCTAGGGTCCTCCACCAAATTTTGAGTGTTAAGTACTTTTGAGTACTAGGGTCCTCCACCAAAATATTTTTCCTATGATCAACCTTCTATCAACCTAGATAGAGTCTATATCATACTTAGTTACTCATAACTAATTCAATACATAAAGCTTATGTATCACAATCCATGCCAAGCCATGCGTTTCTTTAAATGTATAATTAACTAATATCAACCGATATTAATTAATCCATTATCCACCGGTCAACGGTGTCGTTGACCGCCATTTCAGGTCTTACACTTATCAACTTAATCATCATGTAATTAAATTGATGATATTCATTTGGTGCTTCTTATACACTTCAAACAAATATGCATTTTATGTAATTCCTCATATCATATTCCATGCATAAATCATTTATTTCTTTCATACAAACTTAACCCTATTGGCTAATCACATGTTTAAATATCTTTTAAACATCATTATGAAATCGTATAACATTTATTTAGGTAATATCATAATTAACCCAAAAGTTATAAGATATTAAGCCGTCCACTCACCTTGAACTAGCGTATGAAGTTCTACCCTTCTTGGTTGAACTCCGGTGAAACTCCGGTGACTTTTGGTCAACTCCGGCGACAACTCCGGCGACTTTTCCAACTTTGTGAAATCACTTGAAATACCCTTTACAAGTGCCTAACAAGGTTTTATAATCATAAAACCCATATTAATACAAATAACCTCTAAAAGGTCATTTTCCGGTGAACCGGTCGTTTTGGCTTCTAAGTCCGTTCTTGGACTTAGAACCATCTTTCAACCCATTAATCCATACTTATAACATGTAAAACCCTCTTAAGGATTCTTCACATGATATATATCTTATATGGTAGAAGAAAAATAAAGGAAAAGTTATAATAAGGTCATTACCTTAATTTTCACACCTTTTCTAGCCCTTTTTCCTTCTTCAAACACTTCTCTTTGAACCTCCTTCCTTGAGCTCGAGTTTAGCTATGGAGAGAGAGTATTTTGAGAGTTCTTCTTCTCCAAATAATAGGGCTGGACGAGTTGGATGATTGAGGTGAGAGGGAGTGGTTTATTTTGTCTCAAATGACAAAATGTGTGATGGGTGAGGGGTCATCTATGTACTTTGATGTCAAAGCCTCCTCCTCCACACCTTCCCTTGTCAAAACCAGCTCCCCTTGTCTATGCTAGCACAAAAAAACGTGGGGTGGCCCCCACTCATGTGGGAGGTCATCCCAACTTGTCCTGAAATGTACATTCGGTCCCGAAAGTTGTATTTTCCGGACTGTTTTAAATATATTTTATTTTATCGGGTCAAATAAAATATATTATGTGCTCTTACTCATTAAGACATTTATAATGAATATACATTCCTCATCTTTAATTTATAAGCCTCCGAAATTCAGTTTGGGCTGTTATCTGTTAAATTACCAGTACCGGTAATTTGGGCCTCTTTTGACCAATCGGTCAACTATGGGCCTTTCCAGGACCCAAATGAAATATCCACCACTATATGTTTATTATCTAGACCAAGATGAATAAAATATATGGTCTCGGGAAAATCGGGCGGCCCCCGCTCCCGGTGTGGGCCCCACATGCAATTTACTATTCACGCGAAAGAATTAATAAAAAATTTACAATTTCGTAAATCATTCCCATAAGGTTTATTACATCATTTACTTGAAAGTAAATACATTTGGGGACGGTGTTACAAATACTTTCAGTTCCGAATTAAGTGGATCCGATCAATTTTTAAACCTAATGAGAATTAATTTCGATTTTGAAGTGAATTTAATGTTCTCTAAATTTTTTTATTTAATTAATCTCCATTCATACAGTTTTTTGGACTGCTTTTATTTATTCCATTGACAGCGTTTCAACTAGCAGATCTAGATGTCGCATACAAATGTCAAATTTTGCTGCCAATAAAAGTAATTGAGAGGCTTGGTGTTTGCCTTATTATTTCCTGAGTGTGTGTCATAAAATTGTACATTTATTAATTAAGTGATAAAGAAAACCATGCTAAAAATGGTAGTGTCACAATAGCCATATCTTAAAAAATATAAGTACTATAAACAATATCTCCTGGGCTGTATTTATTTTGTGCACTATTTGTTTACGTACATTCTTATGTGACAATCAAGTAGGCAAGTAGCTAAATGCCTCGTAAGAAAGTACACAAAAACTACGTAAAAATAAACGGCAATGGTTGAATTGAACGACCATGTGAGGCATCAAAGTGAAAATAATTACTCCGCATAAACTATTTGGAAATAAAATAAAAATGGCCATGGTCGGTATAAGGAAATGTACTATATATAAAGGTTTGAATGAATGATTTATTGATGAAATACATAGGGGTGGTTCGGTATGGCATACCGAAAAATTTGCGCCATACCGTATACCGTACCGAAATACCGGTATACAAAAATGACATACCGTTGCCGTACCGAAACTTCGGTATACCGATGGTTCGGTATACCGAAATTTCGGTAACCCAAAATGGCATATTGATACCGTACCGAATATTCGGTATTTTCGGTATACCGAAACTCAAGCACAATATCAATATACCGAAAGTGTAATGACATGTTAAAGTAAAGTCTCACATAAATTCAAAAATTATTATTAAACACCAATAATAACTCATGTAAAACTGCTCATTAGCTGAATGCTCAATTTTTAAACACAAAATATGATAAACTTAAAATCATGTTCAACCTTATTCCAGAAAAAATCCAACAAAAATTCAGTACAAATACATATTTAAAGCAATTATAGCATAGACTTTATAAAGCAATATAGATGCAGCGGCCCTAAATCTGAAATCCACATGATCATCACTAAACTCGTGGGCCTCGTGGCTACAGGCTACTGTTGAACTCGTGGCTACCGTTTCATCATTCCCCGAGCTCTGAAAAGAGAAATTAAAAAGGGTGGAAAAACAATTTCATGGCAATGAACAAAGAGTTAGTACCAAGCTCACGATCAGGAGGCAGGATTCCCTAGCGACAAAGTACCTGCAGCTGCACCTCATTTATATTTCCAAATAAAAGCTAAAGGTATGCTAGGAAAGGTATCAACTTGGCTAGGAATACAGCCTATAACAACCCAAGCCAAATCCATTATATCTCATGAAACAAGTGATCAACTTCCAATTTGTCTAGGAATGCAACATATAACAACTACCCAAGCCAAATCCATTAGAGAAAAAGCAGAAGTTACTGCTGCACTCATAAATGACTTAGAAATAGTACAAAAAAGCCTAACAATGACTGACCTACACCAGTAAATGAAGAAGTCAACCTGCACCAGCAAAGTAAGGGTACCAAAAAACTGCATTAAAGGCTTGAAGCTGATATTACAAAGACAAATTAAAATGAACCAGTTCCAGAAATATACTTATTTTTTTCTTCATTAGTAAATATACTTCACTTATTCACTGTAAAACCACCTTACAGCCTAGGAAGTGGTTCATTTTTACAGATTTTTCCGTGTAAAATGACTATTAGTAAGGAAAAGGTTCATAGCCAAATTTCGGAAATTGACTATTTTTTTCCAAACAAAAACAGTACATCCAACACTATTGGTTGTGTAATCACTAATCACTAATCAGTGTCACTAGCACTCTGTCACAAAGATCAGAATATATTATTTGGGATGAAACAAAATATGTTTTTTTTATTATTCAGACGAACTAATTACATACAAAATCATCAAATAACAATTAAATATTGAAGGGTTATAGAGTAAAAGGGAATAATCAGTGCATGAACTTCAACTACGGTTGCCCATTCCAGTTTATACTACTCATGAAATTTATACACTAGAGTCTATGACAGTTAGAAGCCTTACTTAATAGTTAATACTGCTAATGAAATTTATAAATGATTGCTTACTTAATAGTTAATACTGCATATAAAAACATATTAAACGCTGAATTCAATGGGCATTAATGCATTATGAACCTACTAACTGCAAATTAGAACATGCCTATGTGTGAGAGGAAGTCTGCGAGCGTTCCTGAGTGACATTTGCATCTGTAGAAGAAACATAAAGAAACATTAGATTAACATCAAAATTTATCATTTTAATCTAAACTTAATGTGTTATAAAAATTACTCTTTTCAATTTCTTCAATCTCTTTATACAACTCAAGGTCATCATCAGTTGGATCCTTATAAAAGCTGAAATCCTCTGCTCTTAACCAATCATTCGTACAAACCAAAGCTTCAACCATTTTAGGACTTAAACTGCTTCTAAAGGGATCAACAACTCTTTTACCTAAACTGAAAGCAGACTCACTAGCAACCGTTGAACTTGGTATCGCAAAAATATCTTTTGCAATCAATGAAAGAATTGGATACCTAGTTTCACTTCCTTTCCACCACTCCAAAAGATTAAAAGATTGATTAGATCTCTTCTCAATCTCATCAGCTAGGTACTTATCTACCTCATTAGAAATCTCTTTGAGTTGTTCTTCTTGATTTTGTGCCTCAACGTCGGTAAATAACTCATCCCAAAGACCATCACCCGCATTACTAGTACCAGCTCCACCTTCCAACTCCAATTGCATATTTTGCCGCTCAACATTAGTGGTCTCATTTATGCCTTTGTATTCTGCCCACAGAGTCGCCAAGTCACTTTTGACTTTATCAACAAAATCCTGGACCTTTGTAGAAGTAGCTGGCAGTTTCTTCATACTGACTTTAATCATCTGGAGCTTATTTCTTGGGTCCAAAATATTGCTAATAAAAATTACAGGATTTACAGTAGTATTCCATTCGCCCCAATACTTTTGAAACTTCAACATCATTTTACCAGCCACCTCCTGGAGAATTGGGTCAGACTTGTCATTTTTCTTTTTTTCTATCTCAATTTGCAGTGCAATCATGGATTGATAAAGCAATTGGGAGGTGGGAGTTTTTGATGCACTTAACTCTAAGGTGACATCATAAAACTTTTTTAAAAAGTGCACAAAAGCTTTAGCATTCTCCCAATTTTCATGACTTGGAGGCCCTACTCGTACTTTACCCTTTTCATTTTTTTCACGAAAGTACTTAATAAATGGTAACCACTCTTCAGCCATCCTTTCAAACACCCTCCTAAACTTCAATGCAACTTCAAGCATTTTATATGTTGCATTCCACCTTGTTTTTATATCCATAGGCACAGTTGATGTATTAGAAAACTTTGCTAATACGGCAAACTCTCTAAATTTATGCAACCTAGATGGTGAAGAATGAATGAAAAGAACCGCATTCTTTATAGATTCAATTGAAGCATTGAGTTCTTTGAGACCATCCTTAACAATCAGATTGAGTATATGACACCCACACCTCAAATGCAAGTACTTTCCTTCAAACATCAATGTATTTTCGATTTTCATTCTCTTTTTCAAGTAGTCAATAGCTGTATCATTTGAAGTAGCATTGTCAACTACTATCGAAAATACTTTTTCAATCCCCCACTCTCTCAGACACACCTCAACCACCTTACCAATATCTTCCCCAACATGACTTGTGATTTTTGTGAAGTTAATTATTCTTTTATGCAGTTTCCAATCACTGTCCAAAAAGTGAGCAGTAACAACCATGTAATTTATGTTCTGGATGGAAGTCCATGTATCGGTTGTGATACTTACCCTTTGCCCAGTTATGACACTTTTTATTTTAGCTTTCTCAACTAAAAACAAGTCATAAACCATACCTGCCACCTTCTTACGATCTGGGATTCTGAATCTTGGTTGCAATTCATGCACAAGACTTACGAAGCCCTTCCCTTCAACAGCTCGGAATGACATCTCATCGATAATAACATATTCTGTAAGCTTCAACTCACACCTTTTTTGATTGAAAGTATGAGAAACCAATTCAGTGACCTGCCCCATTTTCTCATTTGTCAACACAGGCTGATTTTTGTCACTTTCAGCTGCTTTGTACAAGGGACTCGATCTGCACCTGTTCACTAAGTGGTTTTTCAACCCGCTAGTGCTGCCATGACCTGCTGGGATCTGCGTCTCACAATAATTGCAAGTTCCAATTGGTTGAATGGTGCCATCCAACAAGGTCCTTGACCCTTTTTTACAATGATCCCAAAAGATGCTTCGAGTTTGTGAAACGGGGGGCTTAAGTGCTGCTGTTTTGTTCCTTGCTCGTTTCCGACTAGTACCAGCTTCAAGCGATTCAGATTCTACGATGTCTGGTGATTCAGTTGGAGTTGGAAGAGAATGAGATGATTGAGATTCCATTCTTACTTCTGAAATAAAAACAAATAATTAGTTTTTCAGATTGTAAACAAATGCATCTATCACAACATTTATTTACTTATACACACGCATGTATAAAATTGGAGTAAAGATATATGACCATTGACCTGCATCCATGCTGAAAATTGGACTTTAGATATATGACTTGCAAGTTGTCCCTTCTAGCAGAGCAAGTTAAGTCCAGGTTGCTCTCAAAGAATGGTAGATAGTTGTGTTGTTTTTGTCACCTAAAATTCAAAAACCAGAGATGATTTGTTGTTATGTAACATACTTCAGGGGTTGGGGGTATATTCACATCTCAAAACAGTAATAATTCTGTGAAGCAATAATTTGTAACAGTAATAATGCTGAAGCATGAATATGAAATATGGATCTTTTTTCAGTCTGACAAGTAAATGGCAGGGTAAACTGGGGTAAAAGTATTGCATCCATTCAAAGACCTATCAGAAAGCATATTGCAAACAATTTAGAAAGTGGAAAGAACCTAGAAACAAAGAGAGAGAGATACGAGGTAGCAACCCTCAGACCGCTTAAAAAGAAAATACTGAGTCAGCAACCAATCAGAAACCAAACTACAAACAAAGAATACTTCAATACCCATCTTTCTTTACAGCTGCTTTGAGATCATCCCTAATTAAACTACTTTTGCATATGCTACATCCACATAAGTCTTAGTCCCCCGACACTGCAGCTCAGTGTTAAAACCCCAGCAGCTTCCTCGACGGTAGCATGTGTTACTAACAGTTCATCACTTGTATTCTCAGCAAAAATTTCTAGCAAACCTTTAATGTTATTACAAGTATTTGCACAAACTTCTTCTTACAGTCAAATCTTTAGTGAAGTGAGTTTGCAGTTGTGTTATTATATACATATACAATATAGTTATATAGCTTATTATGTCATGTGTAAGTTGACATCCTCATTTTGTTTGGACAAGTTACAGGTAGGACTGAAGTTACCATTGACAGAGGCAAAATGTGAGGAGCTTTTTCAACTGATTAGTAAAATGGTTATACATTCATAAACCATATACATAGTATGGTTTTTGTAACCAACGTCTAACTGGTTCCAGAAAATGGCAAAGCCCGTCTAGCAAACCTCTATTTGAATTCAAACAAGATTAATTACTCATAATGAATAAGTTTTCATATAAGAACACAGAAGGAAGTGATTGATTAATACCTTTTCGTATCAGAATTAAGTCCACGCGACCACGCCTGGCCGCTGCTTCTCCTACGCTTCCGCTCTTCTTCAAGAAATACTCGCCGCCGGGAGCTGGATTACGTATTGGAGAGTGGAGAGTGGAGCTCGATTATGATTTATGAGTGGAGAATGAAGTCCACAGCTCTCTGAAACCCTATCGGCTCTTCCAATTCTTCGCAGACTCACAGTTTCCACACGACCATAGACCTAGTTTTTGGACTTTGGAGAGTGGATCTTGGCCAAAGTGGGCTAATGGTGGTGGACTGTTATTGGCCCAATAGACAAAATTATAACTAAATGTAATTATTTATATATATGGGATTACGGTATTTCGGTATACCGAACATTTATACGGTATATACCGATACCGTACCGAAATAGTTCGGTACGGTAACATACCTTACCAAAATTTACGGTAAGGAAAAATTTCGGTAAAATCGGTATTTTACGGTACGGTAAGAGCGGTATTTCGGCGGTTTCGGTATTTTTCCCCAGCCCTAGAAATACATGGGGAATATTTATACAGGAGTATACATAACAAATTAGCTAAAAAGAAGGGATAAAGGCTAGTAGCTAAAGTATCTCTACTGCTAATTCTATCTAATACACTTGATTCATACGTATGAGATAATATGAGTATGTATGCTAATGCTACAATATTTGTACATTAATAATATTAGGCCTCAATATTATAGTAGTATAGTATAACCTTAATTTTAAAATACAAATTAAAAGATTATAAAGTACGTAGTGTTTGTTTGATAGGTTTTTAGATTTTATCAATCTTTGTATAACATAATTACGTAGTACGGAGTAGTATAAGATAAGTAGATAACTACATATACAGGTTAAAGTACTTCATTTAATATTACGAGATATTAGTTAATATAATTAAGGATAGAATTCTATTTTAGGTAGAAGATTATTTTCTTTATGATTGTATCTTGCATATCTTTTGGCCGATCCTAATTTTTTGGCTCTTGGAACATGTATTTATACTGGCCGATTGGCCTTAGCAATACAAGGGAAAATTTCCTCTTCATTATTCTTCTCCTTCCCAGTATATCATACGAATTTCATTATGGTATCAGAGCATATAAACGTTAGACTGTTGCGCATACTCCAATAGTAGAGATGACAACGGAAGACGGAGCTACGTCGGCGGCAAGAACTGATTATACTTCGCCGTTTTTCTTGGGACCCCAAGACAGACCAGGTGATTATATCACTTCGGTTCGTCTAACAAATAACAATTACGAAGAGTGGTTTAACACAGTAAGATTGGCACTCCGGGCAAGACGAAAATATGTGTTGGTTGATGGAACTGTCACAAAACCAACACCTCCTTGGACCGAGGAGGACTGGGTTACGAACCATTCCATGATAATCTCTTGGCTTCTCAATGTCATATCGCCGGAAGTCAAGGCGACTCTGTCACATTACGAAGATGCCCGAAAGCTGTGGAACGACTTGAAGGAGAGGTTCGCGTCAGTCGACGGTCCGAAGATCCACCAGGTTAAAACGGACCTGGCTAGATGCGTTCAAACAAAAGGGATGACCATCGGAACGTATTATGCTAAATTGCAAAATTTATGGGATGAATTGAACAACTATGAACCATTAATTGCGTGTAAATGTAACAAGTGCACCTGTGATGTGCTCAAACAACACGAACAGAGAAGGGAATCTGAACGACTACATCAATTTTTGATGGGTCTTTACACTGAATTTTTTGGAGGTGTTCGGTCACAATTGTTGACACAAACTGAACTTCCGACTTTGAATCGGGCGTATCAACAAACTGCTCAGGAAGAACGTGTCCGGGGCATCGTGCAAGCACAAGAAGAAAGGCCAGAGGTTTTGGGTTTTGCCCTCAAGACAGAAGGAAAAAGTGCAGGACGCGGGGTCAAGCCGGACAAGTCGGGACTAGTATGCACTTATTGCAAATTTACGGGACATGAAGTGGCCAGTTGCTTTGAACTTCATGGATATCCCGATTGGTGGGGGGATAGACCTCGACCTGGAATTAACGGAGGAGGGAGAGGACGTTCAAGCAGCACCGGAGCTCCAGGGAATTCGGGTGCACACCGCGGAAAGCAGATGAATAAAGCTCACGCCACGGTGGCAGCTGAAGCCGTGGCTAAGCCAGGTCAAAATACTGGGGAGAGCAGGAGTGGGCAGACAACTCCATTACCGGGCTTTACACCCGAACAATGGACTTCATTACTCTCTATGCTTGGTAACACTCAATCTACAAATGACCGCATGACTGGTAAGTTCAATCATAATGCATGGATTATTGATACTGGAGCTACAAACCATGTATGTGGAAATCAATCTTTGTTGACTGAATTAAAGAAGATTGATCCGTGCACAGTTGGACTTCCCGATGGACAAACAGTTCAAGCAACTCTAGAAGGGAGTGTGCGATTTGGACATAATCTATATTTAAATAATGTTCTTTTTGTTCCAAGATTGGAGTGTAATCTTATTTCTGTGTCCCAATTAAATGATGCACTTGACTGTTTTGTTCAGTTTGCTTGTAATGTGTGTGTTATACAGGACCGTGTCTCGAAGAGGCTGATTGGAACGGGTGAACGGAGGAATGGACTGTACTACTTGCGGGAGGAACCAATGGAACATGCTTTGACAATTCGAGAATCCGGGAAGAAGGAGGCAGAACTCTGGCATCAAAGATTGGGTCATCCGGCCTATCAAGTTGTTGAAAATTTAGTTCCCGTAAGTGGTTTGAAGGATCTTGGAAATTTCCCGTGTGATATATGTTTTAGAGCTAAACAAACTAGGGAATCTTTTCCTACTAGTTTGAATAAAACTCGTGATGTTTTTGAGATGATACACTGTGATTTGTGGGGTCCATATAAAACCCCGTCTTCATGTGGAGCTAGACAATTTTTGACAATTGTTGATGATTATTCTCGTGCTGTTTGGACTTATCTCCTGATTGATAAAAAGGAAGTTTTCAAAATGTTTCTTTCTTTTGTCGCTATGGTAGAGCGCCAATTTTCCAAGAAAATCCGATGTGTAAGAAGTGATAATGGAACGGAGTTTAACTGTTTGAAAGATTTCTTCAGAACTAGTGGTATTATTTTCCAGACGTCATGTGTGGCTACACCCCAACAAAATGGGCGTGTAGAACGCAAACATAGACACATTTTAAATGTAGCACGTGCGTTGAGATTCCAAGGGAATTTACCTATTTCGTTCTGGGGTGAGTGTGTATTAACTGCTGCTTATCTGATTAATCGCACACCTTCTGCAGTACATGCTTATAAAACTCCGTACGAAATTTTATTCGGGGTCTCACCGTGTTATAAGTCCCTTCGTATTTTTGGTTGTTTATGTTATGCCTACAATCTGAGGTCAAAGGGTGACAAATTCCTCAGTAGAAGCAGAAAATGTGTATTTGTGGGATATGTTTTCGGCAAGAAAGGGTGGAATGTTTTTGACTTGGAAACTCGGGAATATTTTGTGTCTCGAGATGTCAAATTTTTTGAGCATATATTTCCTTTCGCATCCACCTCTTTACTTGCTGATACTCATCATACACCGGAGATCACACCGGTTTCTTTGCCTATTGAATATACGGACCCTTCATTTTTTGGATATTCTGGTCAAACCAATGAGGAGAGTTCTACACGTGAGGAGGGTTCTACACATGAGGAGGATGCTTCACAGGGAGCTAGCATGGCTACTAATTCATCTCCTCACACCGCGGCAAACACCCAAGATAACTCCCAGATGGATACCCAGGTTGTCTTGGGACGCGGGCAGCGCACACGTATGCCTTCAGTACGTCTCAAGGATTATATTACACATACAATTGTCAAAAACAGTCCGTTCCCCGCTCCTCCCGCTTCGTCGTCCTCTTCAGGTACGCCGTTCCCTATAACTCATTATGTTACTTGTGATTCTTTTTCTTCAAAACATAAGGCTTACCTGGCAGCACTTAATTCTATCACGGAGCCTGATTCTTTTCATGAGGCTGTTAAACATGAAGGGTGGCGAAAAGCAATGCGGGATGAAATTCGTGCACTTGAAAATAACTCAACTTGGAGTCTAGTTTCTTTGCCCCCTGGGAAACGTGCTTTAGGATGTCGGTGGGTCTATAAAGTGAAACATAAATCTGATGGCACCATTGAACGTCTGAAAGCACGTCTTGTCATCTTTGGAAACAGACAGGTTGCTGGACTAGACTATACAGAGACGTTTGCACCGGTTGCAAAAATGGTAACTGTGCGTGCTTTTCTTGCTATAGCAGCTGCTAAGCATTGAGAATTACATCAAATGGATGTACACAATGCCTTTCTACATGGCGACTTACATGAGGAAGTGTATATGACCATACCTCCAGGTTATAAGACCAGTGATTCCACTTTGGTCTGTAGGCTTCATAAGTCTTTGTATGGACTTAAACAGGCTCCCCGATGCTGGTTTGAAAAATTGGTTACTGCTCTTAAAAGTTATGGTTTTCTTCAGTCCTATGCAGACTATTCTTTGTTTACTTTTACTCGAGGGGCTATCCAGCTTAATGTGCTTGTTTATGTGGATGATCTTCTTATATCTGGCAATGATGGGGCTGCTATTGCCACATTTAAATCCTACCTTCATACATGTTTTCATATGAAGGATTTGGGGACTCTTAAATATTTTTTGGGGATTGAAGTGGCTCGAAGCTCTACTGGTATATTTCTTAATCAAAGAAAATATGCACTTGATATTATAGCCGAAACTGGTTTATTAGGGGCAAAGCCGGCCTCTTTTCCTATTGAGCAGAATCATGCACTAGCCACGGCATCTGGACCTCCTCTCCCGGATCCTGAGCCTTACCGTCGCCTTATTGGACGACTAATTTACTTGGCTGTTACTCGACCTGACATCACCTATTCGGTGCATATACTCTCTCAATTTATGCAACGCCCTCTTAGCGAACATTGGGCTGCAGCTTTACGTGTTGTGCGGTACCTAAAAGGGTCTCCTGGACAAGGGATTCTTCTTCGTACTGATAGTAACCTTACTCTTTCTGGCTGGTGTGATTCTGATTGGGCTGCATGCCCTCTTACACGAAGATCTCTATCTGGCTGGCTGGTTTTCCTTGGACATTCACCCATCTCTTGGAAAGCTAAGAAACAATCTACTGTTGCTCGTTCTTCTGCTGAAGCTGAGTATCGTTCCATGGCAGCAGCTACCTGTGAACTGAAATGGCTAAAAGCTCTTCTCTTAAGTCTAGGGGTGCAGCATCCTCAGGCTATTCCACTTTATTGTGATAGTCAATCGGCACTCCATATTGCTCAAAATCCTGTGTTTCACGAGCGTACAAAGCACATCGAGGTTGACTGTCACTTTGTCCGTGATGCTGTCCAAGATGGAATTATTGCTCCTAATTATGTTCCGACTACTTTCCAATTGGCCGACATCTTTACTAAAGCCCTTGGCAAGGCTCCGTTCCACACTCTTCTCCGCAAGTTGGGCATTTTGAATCCCCATGCTCCAACTTGAGGGGGGGTATTACGAGATATTAGTTAATATAATTAAGGATAGAATTCTATTTTAGGTAGAAGATTATTTTCTTTATGATTGTATCTTGCATATCTTTTGGCCGATCCTAATTTTTTGGCTCTTGGAACATGTATTTATATTGGCCGATTGGCCTTAGCAATACAAGGGAAAATTTCCTCTTCATTATTCTTCTCCTTCCCAGTATATCATACGAATTTCATTATTTAAAAAAAACGTGTTTCATTTATATTAACTGTTACTACGTGTAAACTATTACGTAGTATTTGCATAAAAGTACATTATTGTGTATTTGTATAATTTGCTGCCATTATTCCTGAATCATTTTTAACCTGTTAATTGTTGTTACTAATGAACGTCCAGCAAAGTATAAAATGATTGGGCGAAAAGAGTGGTACTTTTTCACCTCAAGAAATCGGAAGTACCCCAATGGTAATCGACCAAATCGAGCCGTAGGGAGTGCCGAACCCGGGGTTGTGAATGGCTACTGGAAGGCAACCGGGTCTGATAGAGAAATCAAATATGGATCAAGCATCATAGGGTTCAAAAAGACTTTAGTGTTCTATGAAGGAAAACCACCAAAAGGCTCCAAGACCAAGTGGATCATGCAGGAATTTAGAGTCAATGATGCCCAACCTGGTGGAACAAGCACACTCAAGGGAGTCGATGGTGACAACATGAAGGTAATTACTTTCTTGATAAGCATTATCTAATTACATCATGCAGTTTTCAACGGATTTGAATTTCGATGTTCTGATATGGAATCCGTTCATTAGGGAAATCAAGACCTTACCTTCGATTAAGGTGCCTGACAGCCCACCCACTGAATTACCAGTCGACTATGCTATGTTTGAAGGCTTTGGGTTTGGGGTTTCTAAGAGCATGGCTTGGAAGGTTGTCATGCTCTGGCATTTTAAAGATTGTACTTACGAAGGCAAACATAGTTATGAATTCGTAATGGTTTGCAGCCAAGATGGTGATGGTTCATGGAGCTGGAGGCAAATTGATGCTCTGCCAAATGTGCCTGTGGTTTCTCGTGAGGACTTTTATTGCAAGGGGAAGTACTATTGGCGGGTAGAAGTATATGAGTACCTGGATTCAGAACCACCTTTCTCTCAAGACCGGTTGCTATGGTTTGACTTGGAGGATGAAGTGTTTGGAACGATCGGGTTGCCAACCAGATGGGAAGATATTTCCTTTACAGTGATGAATGAGAATATTGCTATGATTAGTCGATGTCCTCCTGAGAATAGCAATTGCATTGAGATATGGTTAATGAGTGAAACCGCTGATTGTGTCGATTGGCATAAAAAGTGGAGCGTAGAATGTTGTCCAAGCACAGTCAGGCATGAGTATTGGAATCCAGTAGGATGTGGGACGTGGGATGAATCCTGGTCGCCTATTGGAATTATTAATCAGGGCGGTGGACGTTTTCATTTGATAGCATATCCGTATATTATCAATTATCGAAGGGAGGGTGACATGGGCAGAAGTTATGGTTATCCCGATGAAGAAAACTATATACCGTATTTAGTATCAGTTGATATGGAAACTCAAGAAATGAAGATTATTTATTTAACAAGAAAAAGGAAGTGTGTTGAACTTATTTCAAATTCGACGGGGTACACTCAAGTTTACAAGGAAAGCAATATTCATATAACTCAAGAATGGAAGGATTTTAAGGTCCGTCCGTGTTACGGTGCGTATGCTAGAATATACAATCGAAGTCTGAAACTCGTATAGAAAACACATCCAAGTGAATAGATGTGTCGTTTTACTTGTGCAAATAGATTCTGGTTCAGTGCCTTCTTCATGTGTTATATTATTATGTATTGCACTAAAGGAATGTTATGTCATTATGTGTACTACTTGGGATGATGGCATGCTCGTACAACTTGTTGATGGGAGTGTCTGAACATTACTTCTATGTATTGTTGATGAGGCTATTGTTTTCAGATAATTTCCTTAACTGTTAGTACAAGTGAATTTAAACATCCATATTGAGAAAAATAAAGAAAGTATAAAGTGAGTCTGATTCTCTCTAATATGTATTATGTGCCCCTTCTTTCCCACCGTCCATATCTACATAGATGGGAGCTGTTTAGGAATACAAGTGAGCCTGATCCTCCACCAGTAAAATAGTCAATAGGCTTAGGTATGCAAACAACATTGAATTAAAAAATAAAAGGATTTGCAGTTTTCACAAATCACAATATACTATGATACGATAGTATCTGTTATGGAAAAAACCAATTCAAATTAAATTGAAAGCCTCAACTGCTTAAGGAATAGGACCTGACAATATGTAAGACTTCAGATCAACTATCTTAAGGTTTTATATCAGAAACATGTCGCTATGAATGTTACCACTCAAGCTATTCCGAGACAAATCCAACTTCCAAGTTGAAGACCTTGTATCGGGGTGAGAGGCGGTAAATGTCAGTGAGGATAGAGTCAATAAAGAAGTTGAACGACAAGTTCAAGAAGGGAAGAACAAATGTTTTTCCTTAACAGCTTGATAGGCTTTCAATTGAGTTGCATTATTTCAGCTTCAAAGCTTGACAAATGGGGAATAGGAGTTGTATCAGCAGGGAATTGAGGCGGAAGTGAAAAAACCATACATCTATAGTCTATAGCTATACCTTGGTTATTGATCACAGAAGAAATATGAACTGAGATGTTTCACTATTTTCGTGGAATGGGTGTGCCAAACACATTCTCAAGTTTAACTATTTTAGCAAATTTAATACTCAAATTTGATCGAAAGTAACAAGTAGAATCCGAAATTCTAACGGTGGCATTAAGTCATTTTTATTTAAATTGTTCATTAAAATTAATATTGTATTTGTGAAATCAAAAACAAATTTATAGACATGCTATACTGTCATTGATTACCCATCAACAAAATTTTAATAGTTTTTTTTTTAAAATATAAGTAAATAGTCTTTGTGCACAAAAATATGACTAAAATGACAATAATTATATTTTTATAGTCTAAGATGTAATATTTGAATATAATTATAGTCACTGAATATTATTAAGACATTTTTTTGTTCAATATCAATATTTTGATATTTTCGTATCCAGAATTATCTTTATTCTTTCTATTTTAGTTCATTCCAAAATAATCTGCAATTTCTTTTTCGGTTTAAATATGGTTGTAGTTCTTGTAAATATGACACACTTTAAATATGGTTATAAGGGTTCCTGCATTTTTTTCATCCTTATAATATGCACTATATATTTTGGTTTTAGTCCATCTCTAATTTCGAAACAACTATACTTGGAATTTTTCAGTTGCATAAATCTACTAGAAACATTTAAATTTATCATTTTATAACTTTTTTTAGACTAGCATGAGAGTTAAAACAATATAAAACCAATTATTCACATTTTTAAGAGATGTATTAAAAACCTTCTAAAATGAAATTAAATATATTTTCAATGATACGACAAAGAATTAAAGCACTACAAAAAAACATGGAGTTAGTCACGGATTTAGTCACGGACCGTAGTATAAAAAATCCGTGACTAACTCTGCTAGTCACGGACAAAGTCCGTGACTAAATCCGTGACTGTTTGGGCGTGACTAATTCTAGTCACGGTCATTTTATCCGTGACTTAGCGTAGTCACGGCTTAGTCATGGACCTTTTCCGTGACTAACTTGTCACCGGAATAACCACACCGGCGACTTAGTCACGGCCTTTTCCGTGACTAAATATAGTCACGGACCAATCCGTGACTAAACTTTCAAATTTAAAAAAACGAACCGCCAAATGTTACGGTTTAAATTTTCAAATTTCAAATTTTAGTCACGGACTTGATCCGTGACTACTTTTTTATTTTTAAAAAAAAAAATTAAATTTGTAAAATAACTTTTTAAAAAATCGGTCTAGAATTTAGTCACGGCTCGGATCCGTGACTAAAGTTTTTTATTTTTAAAAAAAAAGTTTTTTTGTTTTAAAAAAAAATAAATTTATTTTTAATTATTCTTTAGAAAAGTTTATTTTAAAATATATTTGTAGAATAAAAGTAATAAACAGACTACTAGAACACACATTTCATAACCAAACAGACTGAAATAAAAGTAATAATAAGCACAATAGAATTATAGTAAATAAACAATGTTCAAATAAAAATGTATATCATTTACAAGCTCCTCCGGCTACCATTATGATAATATCTAGAATCATCATATAGATAATCATCTTCGGTCTCATGTTCTCGGTTGTCTCCAGCTTGGCCTTCTCGATTGCCACCGCGACTGCCTCCTCCGCGACTGCCACCTCCGCGACTGCCACCTGCTTGGCTGCCTCCAGATGTTTGAAACAGGTTGTGAAAATTGATATCCTGAATAGAACCAAATGAAGGCAACCCGGTAGCAGAGTTGGTACGGAAATAACCGCCCATGTGCGGAACTTGAGGTGTCTGCTCAGGGTGCAGTACATACGGCTGAGGCTGAGGCTGATTCCGAATTCCGGCGCTGAGGATCCGTTCCATCTCTTCCAGCCGGGCCCTTGTTTCTTCTTCTTTTTTGCGTTGCTCCTCCAAGGTGCGCTGCTGCTCAGCCAAGGCCCGCTGCTGCTCCTCCATCTCCCGCTGCATTTGAGCGATACGCGGATCCTCTCCGCGCCTTGATCGGGAAGATGAAGCACCGCTGCGGTCGTACAAGATCCGTTGCCCCTCAGCCCCCATGCACGGGACCCGGCCCTTGTACACCCCAACTGCCTCAAAGATGGCATCATCCTCCACATCAGAATCAATCTCATCCTCCTGAGTCAAACCTAATTCTGCCCGCCTCTTCTCAACATTTGTGTTATACTTTGACTACATGTACAAAAATTGTTAATTTAATGTTACTCAATTTGATTTTGAATGGAAGTAAGTAACAAAATAGTGTTACTTACTTCGATTTCAGCGAGGCGGGGTGGCAGATCGGCATCGGACTCATCGCCGTTCTTTGTCCAACTGTTTTTTTATTAAATTGGTTTTTATCAAACTGTTTTTTATTTAATTGATTTTTATCAAACTGTTTTTTTATTAAACTGTTTTTTTATAGAACAGTTTTTTATTAAATTGTTTAATACAAAAACAATATATTATTAAACTGTTTTTTATAATCTATATTTTACAATTTATTTCGGAAAACAGTTTTTAATGTCTAAATAATTATTTTATAGTTAACATGTCAAATTTTTTTGGAAGTTTGACATGAGGGGGTATTTTTTAAATAATTCGGAAATAATAAATTTGAATAATGGTAAAATAATAATAATCCTAACAATGTCTAAATAATTCATGCATAAGTCCGAAATTAAATCATGCATTTGATTGAAAAAACATGCATGTTGTTTAACCTAAAATTAAATAATATTTAGGCATGCATAATTGAGAAAACATAAATCGGTTAAAACATAAGTACGAAATAATAAAAAAACAATTTTTTTTTCAATAATCATGCATGTGGTTTAAATAAATAGCACACGTTTATTCATGGATATGAAACCTATAACTGTAATCTAAGCATGCATATTGAACATAAAATTTCGAGTATTGTGTGTAACAAATTGTATCAAATTTTGAACACATATTTTAACAAAATAAATAAATAGAGCATGCATTATTCAAGAAATAGAGTATACTACAAAAAACCTTTGTAAATTAATAATTAATACTAATATAACTAATTGAACAATAAAAGTATGCCTTTGAGTATATACATTCGGATATTTCAAAACCAATAGAGCATGCATATTAATAACAATAAAAACAAAACATGAATTTTTAAAAAATTTAAAAAATTAATAATTAATCATTAACATACGAAAAAACATGCATTGGAGTATATATACATGCATTTGAGTATATGAACATGCATTTGTAAGTTAAAATAATTAAGAAAACATAACCTTGATGTAGAGAGAGGCGCGAAAAAAACAAATGTGGGGAATTAAAGGGCGGTAACCGGCGGCGGCGACGTCAGCGGACTGCGGACGGCGGCAGACGACAGATAAGAGTGGTCGGTGGCGACGGACGGTGGAAGGCGGCGGTGGAGTTCGAAGGGAGTGAGAGACAGAGAGAAGATCGAGGTAGAGGGAGGAGAAGGCCGGGGAGTTTTAGGGTTAAGAAATAAGGTGGAATTGAAAAAATCGCTAAGGGTCGGTTTTATATCAGGGCGTAGTCACGGTCTTAGTCACGGATAAATCCGTGACTAAACCCTTCGTAATCAACGAAATCAGCCACGCGGCATCGGCCGCCTTTGACCGGTTTAGTCACGGTTCTATCCGTGACTAAGACCGTGACTAATTCAAATTTTGAATTTAGTCACGGTTCTAGTCACGGTTAAAACCGTGACTAGACCGGCGGCCCTGACACTTCTCCGGCTGCCAGACTGACAGGTTAGTCACGGAATTATCCGTGACTAAGACCGTGACAACTTGAAATTTTTTAGTATAAATCATCTTTCTCCGGCCCAAGACTGGACTGTACAAAAAATGGCTAATAGAGGTCCAATTGACTGGGATTCGATGTGTAGAGATATGAAACGACTTAAGCTGATTACAGAGCTTATGGAGCCGAAAACCGTGGAAGCATACGAGAGAATCAAGGAGTTGATGTCTAGACCCCTTGAAAGTTTTGGCGATTATAAAGATGAAGAATCCGACTCGTTGGGCAAGTCAAAAGCAAGAAATTTGTGTCGGATGCTTCAACGTGCACAAGAAGTTTCAGAGTATATGGACCCGATCAACGAAGAAGCTCGAATGAAAATTCAGGAGTTGTGGGCTAGGCCTCTTGAAAGTTTCCGATTGAGGAATGAATAATGTTAGTTAGGTTAATGTGATAAATAAATCTATGTTAGTTGTTTGATAAATAATATGTGACAATTTCATTGTGTGTTTTGTATTTATCTTTGAAATTTGATAAATAAATCTCTGTTAGTTGTTTATTAATATCTAAATTTATTATAATATTCAGATTAGTAAAAGTAAATTACTTTTTTTTTAATTTTCGAATTTTGTTAATTTTCGAATAGACTTAGAATTATTAAAATTAATTTTCGAATTTCGAATTATTAAAAATTATTAAAATAAATTTTCGAATTTAGAAAAATCAAAAATAATATTTGAATCTTCGAAATTTGAAATTACATGGATATAATATAGAGTAATTTCATATTTTGTATTGGATAAATTTTAATTTTCAAACTTCGAATTGTGAAAAATTTTATTTTGAATTTATAATATGGATATAAAAAACTTGTTGTGGTTGAATTAATATGGAGTAATTTTGTGTTCATAAATAATAATGATAAAGATAGAAAAAAATTCAAATATTGTTGGAGTAATATAATGATGAAGAAATCTGCACAAATATTAGAAGTCAATAAAATTGAAATTATAACAGCACAATTATTCGCTATCAGAATCGTCATTTTCTACATATACAGTATCTTCTTCTGTATCTGAACCGTCTATCCATTCACCTTCTTCCTGATATTGAGCGTTTTGTTGTGCTACATACATTTCCTCAATTTCGCGCTCAGATGGAATGGTTGGGTCCGGAAGGTGCGTTTCTGGCATGACTTCAACACGTCCGCCATTTGGATCACTTAATTGGATGTCATAGTTGACCGTCTCAACAATAGGCGGAGGTTGGAAAAATTGTTGCTGAAAAGCATCTAGATCAACGTCCTTGTGTTGAGTTTGTGATTTTATTTTGTTCGGACGGACAGGACATGCACACACCCAAGGATTCTGTGTCCGCCTTGTTGAAGGATATTCTGCATAATAAATCTGCGCTGCTTGTTGGGCGAGTATGAAAGGCTCATTTTTCGGGTACACACGAGACTGGTTGACGTCAATCATATTATACTTCGGATTTTTGCGCACGCCACGTGTGGGGTCGACCCATGTGCAACGGAACAGAACGCATGTCAATTTTTTCGCACCAGAAGGCATCTCAAGTTCCAGAATCTCCTGCAGGACACCAAAAAAATTGGTTTCCGAGTTATCATAACCGATGGTCGGGACACATAACCCGCTGTTCGTTGTTGGTCGGCCCTCTCCGTAATCGGCTGTGTGATATGTGTAACCGTTTATCACATATTGCCGCCACACTTTGGCACTGGCACTAGGGCCCCACGCTAATGATACTAACAAAGGGTCGACAATCCCACGACTATTGATCTGTAAATATAAACATGATAATAACATTAGGTAAATATTGAAAAATCTTACTTAATAATATATATATAATTAATGTGTGTGTATATATATACCTGATACTTGTACCAATTTACAAAATCAGAGTCTACCAATGCATCAATTTGATTCTCAGGAAAGGCTGATAAAGAAGCTCTGAATTCACTGTGAATTCAAAAATAAAAAAATTATAAATTAACTACAAATTTAATTGATAAGTATTACAATTATAACTACAAATTTAACTTACTGATAAAACGGTGAGATTTCTGGACAATTCATGAGGATATAAGTATGTGCAATTTGCAATTCCCCACCCACGATGTATCGTTGTGTCGCAGCACCTTTACCTCTGCCTGGGTAATTGAAGATGGAAACTACATTTTCATATAAATCCTCGCCAATGTCATCGTTCCGGGCAGGTCTCTTCCTTCTGGTGATGACGTCACGCTCGAAGTAAAAAGACGAGAACGTTGAGATTTCTTGTTGAAGATACGCTTGACAAATTGAAGCCTCAACGTGTGCCTTGTTGGTCACTTTCTTTTTCAGCTCTCCTAGAAATCTGCAATAATGCAATATAACAACGGTACACATGTTAACAGTTATTGTGAAATAAATATTCTTTTTTTAAATGAAATTGTTACTAACCTTTCAAATCTGTACATCCAGCGATAGAAGACGGGCCCAGCAGTCAAAGCCTCATACGGAAGATGTATTATAAGATGTTCCATTGTATCGAAAAACGATGGAGGCATTATTTTTTCTAGATTACACATCAGAATGGGAACAGAATCTTGTAGTCTCCGGAGGGATGCCGCATCCAAAACGCTGGAACATATCGATTGAAACAACAAACTGATTTCAGTAATGCAGGACCATACGTGTTCAGGAAGCATCTCTTTTAGTGCAATTGGTAGAAGTCTTTGCATTATTACATGAGCATCGTGAGTTTTCATGCTCGTCGTCGTGGTAAGTTTGTTCATGTCTACGCATCTAGACAAGTTGGAGCAGTAGCCATCTGGAAACTTCTGAGACGCAAGCCATTGTAATATTGCTGCCTTTTGTGGTTCTGTGACCTGGTAGACTGCTTTTGGAACTTCCTTGCCCTGATATTCTAGATCAACAGAAAGTTCGGGTCTATCACACCAAATAGTCATATCTTTCCTAGATGCAAGACCGTCTTTAGTTTTGCCTTTCAAATCCATCACCGTGTTAAATATATTGTCAAAGACGTTCTTCTCAGTGTGCATGACATCTAAATTGTGACGGATGAGAAGGTCTTTCCAATAAGGCAACTCCCAGAATATGCTCCTCTTTGTCCACTTATGGGTATCACAATACCCATATGGCTCTTGGTTTGACTCTTCCATAGCCGTAGGAAAACGTCGAACCCGGTTATAAATTTCTTCACCGGTCAATCTCGGGGGTGGGCTCTCTCGTACCGCTCTGCCTCTAATGAAAGACTTCTTGTCCTTTCGATATCGGTGCCTTTCCGGGAGAAACTTGCGGTGACAATCAAAGTAACTTCCTTTTTTGCTGTAACTAAGCCAGTTGGCACCTGATTTCTCCATACATATCGGACATCCCATCAAACCGTGTGTGCTCCATCCCGAAAGCATGCCATAGGCAGGGAAGTCGCTAATGGTCCAAATGATGGCAGCTTTCATGATAAACATTTTATCTGATGAAACATCATAAGTTGGTGTCCCAACGGCCCACAGTTCTTTCATCTCCTCGACAAGGGGTTGGAGATAAATGTCTATCTTTCGCCCAGGATCCTTGGAACCCGGACAAATTAAAGACAAAAATATGAAATGACTTTTCATGCACATGTCGGGAGGGAGATTGTAAGGAGTTAACATGACCGGCCAACATGAATAGTTCTTGCCAAACCTGCCAAAAGGAGCAAATCCATCTGAGCACAATCCCAGCCGCACATTTCGTGGCTCCATAGCAAACTGAGGATGACAGCGGTCAAAGTGTCTCCAGGCTTCACAGTCCGAAGGGTGAGCCATCATACCCTCGTTGGTTTCGTGCTCAACATGCCATGTCATGTGTTTCGCAGTAGCAGTCGAAGCGTACATCCTCTGCAGTCGAGGAGCTATTGGGAGGTAATACAGTTTAGACAGTGCAGACCTATGTCGTGGTTTCTTTTTACCTTGACGAACAGGTTTGTATCTGTCTCCACCACAGAACTTGCAGAACTCAAGTGCCTCATCCTCCTTCCAGAACAACATACATCCTTCCGGGCACGCATCAATTTCAACACAAGGTAGCCCCAACTTAGACATTAACTGCTTCATGTGGTAATATGAATCCGGAAGGGTATGATCTCGCGGTAGCATCCCTCCTACTGACTGCAAGACTCTATTCATGCAAGTTTCAGGGAGACTGTATTCGGCTTTTATGTTCATGAATTCAGTAACGGCGGATAGCTGAGAGTATCCCTCACAATCAGCATACAGAGGTTGGTCGGCAGCTTTTAGAACATCCTGAAATCTCTCAGCCAAACCTTCATCCACATAAGGTTGATAAAATGTCGGATTTTCATCCGCATCTGGTTGATACGAGGTTGAGGCTTCAGGGGGGTCGTTAGGTGGTTGTGGGGGGTTGAACTGAGACATCGGTACACCGTATGCGTCATATACCATTTGTTGGTCCCACCTCATTTCAGCACGGTCTCCCCACGCACTCATCTCTGGAGGGACGTAACGAGACGAACCTACCGTTTGTGGTATAACAGATGGATCCAAAGGTTCGCCGTGAGAAGTCCAATTATAATAATTGGGAACAAAACCGACCGCGTACAAATCATACCCAACTTCGTGTGGGTCTTTAAATTTGAGATTTTTACACTTTGAACATGGACATCTTATTTTATCACCACTCATATAAGCCGGATGTTCAAGTGCAAATTCAATAAATTCCCCAACTCCCTCGAGAAAATTTGATTGCATTCCGTACAATACCGCATCTTTATCATACATCCAACTTCTATTTTGTTTATACATTATGCCTGAATATTATAATAAAAAAGTATACACGTTCAAATACTAACAATAATACTAACAAATTTTAAGTGAGTTATTTCACTAAGTAATCAACTAACTAATTTTCACTAAATTAAATGAAATGCACACAATTCACAACAATAATTCACAAAATATAAGTAATTACCTAATACTTAAATTTAACTAATATTACAAAAAATCTAAGTAATTTATTAACACTACATTTAAATTAAACATATGTTTAACTAAATTTAACTAATTCATTTAGTTAAATTTAACTAAATTTAACTAGTTCATTCCGTCCTCTTTTAATGCATCACTACGTTTAAACCTACGTTTAGCTAACTAATATAACATAATTAACACATCACTAGCTACGTTTAAACCTACGTTTAGCTAACGAATTTTAATTAAATTATTTTTGTAAACCTACATTTAAACCTACACTAAATTATTACGTTAATGACATTTAATGTTATTAGTACCACACAATTAACAATTCCAATTCACTAAATTAAATAATATGACCAAATTAAACCCAATAATTTGAACATGTATATAAGGTCATTTGAATTAATAAATAATACACAATTACAATAACAATTCACAATACACTTAATTAACACATTACTAACGTACGTTTAACTAACTAATGAGGAGGGGATGTCTCGATCGGGGGAGGGGAGATTCCGCAGCTTTGGGACCTGGAGCCGCGATCGACGCCGATTTGGAGCAGCGCCATTTGAACTAGGTCGATCTGGTGAAGGCTCGTCACATGGCAGGGCTTGGCGGCGATTTGATGGCTTCAGAAGATCAGCCGACTGGGATTCTTCTCAGCGACGCGACCATGCTAGATCCGACTGCGCTTGGCGATTCAATGACCTTGTGGACGGGAGTAATCATCACTTTGACGAGAGGTGGAATTACTTTGGACAAACAGATTTTCCGGCGAAACGACGGAATTGGGGGAGTGATTGTTCAGTGAGAGGCATCAACTCAGCAGTCAAGGGTGGTGTTCATTTCCGGCAAATTAAGGATGCGACAGTTCTTAGGCATGCATCAGCTTCATTCAGGGATGATCCTAAAGGAAAGTTTCATTACCATCAAAACTCTACTGGTATGATGGGGAACACGAGTTCGATTTCTACTGGTTCGGGTCACTTTAAACGAATAAGAATAGAAAGCAAAATTTTTTGTTTCTATTTAACATCTTCGACACTTCGAATTAGTCAATTCAAGGAGGGTCAATGTGTTTCATTATATCTAGATAAGGATGGAATTGACTGGTTATGTGATGCCATTTGTTTCCTTCAATCTGATAGCTCTTGGAGAATCACTAGGTATGAAAAGTCTCGAAAGCTAAGCTTATCTTTGGAATCAAATAGATTTGGGGGATTCTATCGCTTAGTCGTATTTGATAACAGGGGAAGATATACTATTATTATACCTGAAGGTAGAAATGCAGTAGGAATTGAACTCTTTTATTCGACTTTAAGCCAGGTCAGTGGCGGAACCAGACTATTTTGTTAGGGAGGGCGATAAAATATGTTAAGATCCTATGTTAAGCCGGGTCAAAATTATTGATAATTTGTATACAAGGAAAGTTACTTAAATAGGGATAAACAAGTTTTAAAATTCTAAAATTAGACTGTCATGTATTTGTTTCCTAAATATGAGTAATTTCTATCATGTTTGACATTACTATGCTTTAAATATGATATTTCTTTTCAAACATGACAAAATTACTTTTATTAGTGATTAAAAACATGAGAATTCTAATTTGGAACTTCAAAACGTTTTTACTCCTATTCAGTGCTTTCTATAAAATATCCCCGTATGAGATTATGTATAAATTATATGCATGTTATTGGAATACATATGTATTAAGAATGTTATCTTTTGGACGGAAATTTAATGATCTGGTCTGAACTGGTCTGCTCTAGTCTGGTAAATTTATTTTATAACAATGAAAGTCTGATCTGGGACTGAAAACAGTCCAAAAGAAAACAGCATTAGTACTGTATCACATTAAGCACATATATATTAACAATTTTGTGTTTATTTATTTGAATACACATTAAGTATTAAGTAAAAAGAATGTGATTTGGTCATCATTAGTTAACAATTACTCCAAGAATCGAACTATATAACTAATAATTAATAATTACAAATTACTCAGTCATTATGCCAACAAGTAGATGAACTAATTAAATAAAACAAACTCCATTAAAACATCAAACAAGAAACAATTAAACAAACTCCATTAAAACACCAAAGAAGAATACATTAAAAAAACTCCATTAAGTTAAAAATCAAACTAGGACGATTAATCTCCATTCTCCGGTAGTCCAACTTAGGTCAAACACCAAACACGAAAACAATTAAAATACCAAACAAGAAAACAATTAAATAAAAAAGTTGATTAATTAAATAAATATGACTTAGTTGAGGTGAAATTTTGGAAGTGTGCGACCCAGCAGCCGTGGCTTAAATAAAATCGCTGATTCAAAATCGCCGGCTCACCAATTTGTGTTTCTCTTTCCCCGTTTTTGCTTGCTCTGGAGTCTGGAAGCTAACCGAAGGCAAAACTGGTATAACTTATTATTACCAGTATACGTAGTAATACGGAGTAATAATACAGAGTAATACCATAAAAACATCCGACGTCGTTTCTTTTCCTTTTAGTAACACAGTCAAACGTCGTCGTTGAGCTAAGCCTATTAAAATGATTGGTCAGCATCTTTAACAATCGAACATAGAAATACCAGGGCACCGGCTATGGAAACAAAACGAGAAGGGACGACGGGAGATGCAGGGGCGGGACGAATATATCTCCTACTACTACCTTGAAACGTCCGGCGAAGGGGTGGCGTCAGCACCGGCTAGCCCCGGCCTGGTTCCGCCCCTGAGCCAGGTTGATTTGTTAAAAGAGGTTAGGAAAGAGGCTTCGGAGACTCTTTTGACGGATCATGGGGTAGTTTGTTCCGGGTCTTTGTTTGAGAATTCTGGTTCTGAGTTTGAGAGGTCGATCTCTTGCGGGTTATTTCAAGAAGACTTGCTTATAAATGGTTTTTTATCTTCTCCAGATTTAGAGAGACGTCATAAGGATTTGGAACTTGTTAATAATCAACATAATTGGTCAGAAGAATTTCAGAGGGACACTATCGGGGGGACCGCTACAAAAGATGCGGGTCAAATTAATGAAGAGATGATCGTGGACATAAGTAATAAAGCCGAAGAGAGTGGTTGCAATGAGGGAGTGATTTTTGATGTTATTCCTCTTCAGGTGTCCTTTCCGGATCAAGAACAGAACAAGAACATTGTGGTGATAGAGGGTGCCTCTCAAGACGTTGAAAGCTCGGAGGAGGATGAATCTTCGGGATATGACTCTGACCAAGAGTTGCTTGATCGTCTAAGTGATCCAAATTGGAAATTAAGATCTCAAATATTGCCAAGAAGAAGTGCTCGACTTCAAGCCAAGATTCTAGCAGTAACAGGTTAAAAGCATTTGGATTGTTGGTCATGGGTTGATTGCACTCTCTAGGAGGAGCAAAATCTATTTGGACCGGGTCAACAAGGTTATGCAAGGATCAATTTCAGGAAATTGGGAAGTTGGCCTTGAACACTTGGATCGATTTAGAAATCTTTATCTCTTGATTAGTTTGTTCACTAGCTCAGTTGTTCTCTAATTTTCTTCCTTCATTAGCGTTTGTATTTTTCTAATAAATTTAATAAAATCTTATTTTCAGCCAAAAAAAAAAAAAAAAAAAAACGTTTAACTAACTAATTTCACTTAACATAAAGATCACTACGTTTAAAACTACGTTTAGCTAACTAATTTTAATTAAATTATTTTATAAACCTAACAGTTTAACTAATTTTATGACATTAATACGCTTACAGTTGAATATGTTGTTAATTAATTAACAACATCACTAATTTAATAGTTTTAATAATTTAAATTGAACCAACTAATTCTAAATAAAAATAATAATTCAAATAACATACCTTAACTGCATAAATGGGGAAAATGATAGAAGACAGACTACATCCTTCGATCTTTCAAACAGATACTGTATATACTGGGAATGAATTGGTGTGGTTCTGTTGAATGAACTGCTCCTGCATATATAAAAAATTTAGTCACGGACTTAGTCACGGATTTGTCCGTCACTAAGCAAAACCGTGTCCATTACGCGTCCGATCCGTGTTAATGACGTGTAAATGACGTGTAAATCAAAGTAGTCACGGACATAGTCACGGCCATGTCCGTGACTAAATTTATCCGTACATAATACCGTTGCGGATTGATTTATGGGAGATGCAAAATTAATTTTTAAAATTAGTCACGGCTGTAGTCACGGATGTGGCCGTGACTATGCCGCCGGAGTAAAACAAGCCAGGCCGGAAAATCAAACGGGCAATCGGAGGATGTTAGTCACGGACAAAAATCCGTGACTACGTGTAGTCACGGCTGTAGTCACGGATTTTACCGTGACTAATTTTTTTTTTAAATTTTCGTGACTAGTCCGTGACTAGTCCGTGACTAGGCTAGTCACGGACCAAATCCGTGACTACGGTCCGTGACTAAACGAGTGTTTTTTTGTAGTGAAGGATAACTAAATATGACACTTTATTTTAGATCTCGGCATTTTTTCTCATCCTTATAATATGCGTTATTTTGGTTTTAGTCCATCTTGGGATTATTTCGTTGTCAAACAGAGGTTATTATCATTAGTCATGGACTAAAAGAAAATCAACATAAATTTCAGAAGCGAAAAACAAAAACAAAAAATTATAGAATTCTAAAATAAAGTGTGCAATATTTATAGAGGGCTAAAAACATATTCCATCCGTCTTTTAAATTTTCATACACTTTCTAATTTGGGTTGTATTTAAAAGTTTCACACAATTTTCCCCTTGGTAAGTTCTTCCTTTAAAAATACCTAATTCCCCCTTACTTTTTCTACTTTTATATTCTCTTTTCCTGCTTTTTCACTTTCTCTCCTACTTCTTTTATACTATTCATTATTCCTATTATTCAAACTTTCTTTTTATGACAACGAATTCTTAATTAATACTACCTCCTTCCCATTTATATTGTCCCGGAAGAGGGTGACACGGTAATTAAGAAATGTGGGTTTGTGCGGTTGATATTAATTCATAAAGTAAGAATAATTTAGAGTCACACAAACTTTGTCAAACATTGTATTGGACAATTTAAGTGGGAGTTCCCAAAAAGGTAAAACAGGACAATATAAATGAGACGGAGGAAGTACTCCTCAATAGACAAATCTGTCTGGATTGATATGAGATTGAGGGAGTAAATATTTGGAATTATTCTAAATTTGAAATTAATTTCCAAAATTCTAATTTTTAAATGATGAGAGTAATTTAAATATTGTTTGGAGTTACGTAGTGCTCGGTAATTAAAATCCTAAACCCTAGGCAATGACCCAATGTAAGGGAGGCTTAGGGAGCTCGTAATCCGGAGTATATATTCCGTATAATCACTCAGGCGTACAAGTCCTACTACCCAGGCGGTCAATTCCTACTAGGGTTTAAGATTGTTTAGCTCTATCAAAGCAAAGATTTCAACCAGAATTGTATTCAAGTTTCTTTATGACATGGAGAATTGCAAATTTCCAAGGGAGCTGCTGATTGAGATATTGGTGAAGTTGCCCGTAAAATCTCTTATGCGATTTAAGTGTGTGTGCAAATATTTGTATGATTTGATAAAGAAGGATCATCATTTGATGCACAAATTCTATGAAATTAACAGAGAAAAATACGATTATGCTGTTATAGAGGTCGAAACTGCAGCAAGAGAATGCGCTAACAAACTTTTCGGTTTGCTCAACAAAGATTCGGAATGTGATGAGATTATATTCACATGCTTAGACATACCTGGTTCAGTTACACGATATGTGAGTTGCTGTGAGGGGATGCTATGTTTGATTCTGGGCAAGGATGATTTTGATATCTGTTCTTTAAATTGTTATTCTGGAGATATGAATTTCAATGTTTTGATATGGAACCCATTCATCAGGGAGATAAATGCCTTACCGTCTGTTGTCGTTCCCGACAACCCTCCCGCCCATGTAGCTGTCACCTATTTGCTGTTTGAGGCATTTGGATTTGGGGTTTCAAACAGCAAGGAATGGAAGGTCGTCATGTTGTGGTATTTTGATTATGATCCCAAGGATATAGACTTCACTTATGAAATTGTAATGGTTTGCAGCCAAGATGCAGGGGATGGTTCATGGAGGTGGAGAAAGATTGATGCTCTTCCAAATGTGCCTGCGAAATCTCGTGAAGATTTTTATCTCAGGGGAAAATACTATTGGCGGGTAGACTTAGAATGGTGTTGGAATTTATCCTTCTCGGAAGAGCATTTGCTGTGGTTCGACTTGGACAATGAGGTTTTTGGGATGATCCAGTTGCCAACCATACGTGGTCGTTTGTCATGTACCGTCATGAACGAGACTATTGCTCTTGTTAGGCGCTGCTATCAAAGGAATCCATTGGATCACATTGAGATATGGTTAATGAGTGAAACCAGTGGTGACATTGAATGGCATAAACAGTGGAGCATCGATTGTGGTGCAAGCGTACTCCAGCACGAGTCATTGTATCCGCCAACGGAATATCTAACTTGGGATGAAGATTGGAATCCAATAGGAATTTGGAATCAGGGTGGCCATTTTTATCTGTTGGCATTTCCTTTTATTAGGAAGTTTGACAATACTGGTTTCGGCAGACATCGTTGGTTTTCATGTGAAGACAACTATAAACCATATCTTGTTTCAGTCGATTTGGAAACGCAAGAAATGAAGCTCATTTATTTAACTCAAGAAAGCAAATGTGTTAAAATTGTTGCAAATTCATCAGGAAGGTATGTTCAAGTTTTCTCCGAGAGCACTGCTGAAGCAACCCAATTATGGACGCGTTCCTTGTCAAAATGCGAAGCATGTGCTCGAATTTACAACCCAAGTCTACAGATGCTATAGATAATGACATTGGTGATTGTTATTTAGTTTTACTAACGTTTCTTACTTTCTTTTCACTTTCTCTTGAACCGGTTGAGAGCTACGAAGTACGTAGTATTATTTTGCTTTATTATGATAAATAAAGGCTTCATTTTAGTGCAATATTGTCTTGAATTTAGTTAGGGGTGGGCATAACGGTTTGGTTTAACCGAACCGAACCGTACCAAACCGAACTAAACCGAACCGAAACCGAACCGTATGCAATTTGGTTTTAGTTTGGTACTATTTCTTTCAAACCGTATTAAACCGAACCGAACCGAACCGAAACCGATAAAAACCGAACAAAACCGAACCGAACCGAACAACAAACACACACACACTTTGTATTTATCTTCACTCTTCATTTTAAGATACAAATAAAAAATTTAGACATGAAAATGCATATTTAAGCATATACTCGTATTATTTTAACTTTTACACATTTCAAACATTCATTATGACAAAGTTAGCTAATACGACATATTTGTATTTATTATGGTTGGCGATATCAATAGCAAATTGTATTTATATTTCTATTTCTATTTCTGTGAGTCTTTGGTTTAGTTTGTTTCAATTGGTTTAGCAGGTGAAGGCAGGTTGTTTAAGCTAGGTTCTAGTATTTCATTTAGTTGGAATTTCAATTGGCAGGTTGTTTAAGCAGGTGAAGACAGATTGTTCAATTGGTTTGGTGAAGGCTGGTTCTAGTATTTCATTTAGTTGGAATTTCAATGAAAACAAAACATTCAAAATTACTCAAAGTGGATTGTAACATATGAAACAAGACATAATCATTTTCAAGTTTATAAACCGAACATCAAACCGAACACCAAACCGAACCGAACCGAATTTTTCCCAAACCGAACCGAAACCAAACCGAAATTCTTTTGGTTTGAGTTTGGTACTATTTTCCTCAAACCGAATAAACCGAAACCGAACCGAAACCGATAAAAACCGAACCGTAAACCGATTCGCCCACCCCTAAATTTAGTGTTAAGTGTTATGCATTGTGGCATCTGGAGAGACTGTTTTTAGGATGTTTTTACTTGAACCGAAATTTGATGGTCTGGTCTGGTCTGTTTAAGTCTAGTCTGATCAGGTAAATGTTTGATTACTTTGTATTTTGTAACCTCATAAATTTGATCTGGTCTGATCTGATCTGTTTAAATATGATCTGGTCTGGGACTGGAAAAACATCCTTACTAGAATTCTTGACATTGAATATTGTATGTCTTATCCCTTCATTCCCTTGCCATCAAAGTTTTTGCTTATATATATTTATTAAATTTAATTTTAAAAGTAATAGAAATTATTATGAGTACAATAAGATCTTAAAAGGCAGAACTATTGAAATCTGAAACTGCTATATATGGTGACTATCTGTAAATTTTTTTTACATGCTACTCCGTATTTAAATATTTTTAGTGCACTCTTGAAGTATTTTGTTATGTATTGTGATTTGTGACGCGTGTGAAACCACATTTTCAGTTTTATTTATTTAATATTTCGTATAATAGTATTTAAAATTAGAAAAGAGGAATGATAGTATTTTTAAACTTATAAAAAGGGGTTTCCATAAGCATTATTGAAATAAAATGTATGAATAAAAATGTGACTATAGACTAAAATTATTAATTTATTATGTAGTATGAGTGTATTGTAGCTGTAGTAAGAGTATACAATTGAGCATTATAAATTATAAAAGGAGCTCAAAATTCCACATT